ATCCATTCTCTCATACTAACAAACAACAAACACAGGGAGAGTTTTGCTTACATAAATGCTATAACACCAGTTGCATCTTTTCTAAATAGGAGATTATTCTTCTTTTTGCTCAGAGCCACGATTGCACGTTGTGCTGTTTTATATGTCATCAACAGTAGGTCTAATTACCCTGCATTTCTTTTCTCCAGCGTCTAATTCAGGGAAGGAGGCTTTTCACAAGCACAACACAGGAAAGAGGCTTTATGGCCTGGCATTTCACTCAACTGCTCAGAAACTATGAAACACATTGTTTAATGCCTCAGTTTTGCTATCACAGACCACATAGATTATGCAGGATAAATCCGAAAGGACTACAAATCAGTTTGGACGCAGACAATGCCTTGTGACAGGATTATATTCATGGTTTTCAGCTCATTACGAGGAACTATTTACTCAGTGAACAAGAGGAGAATGAGTAAGAGAGAGAGAGACGCAAACAGATGGAAAGAAAATAGGAGGAAAAAGGGGTGGGACAGAGAGAGCTCAGTGCATCCAATTACAGTAAGTGGGCTCATTTCCTCTAATCAAATAGCTCAGTTAAATATCTCAAAGGCTGATTCCCCATGGAGCTGATCTTCACACATCAGCAATCAGTCGCTATGTCTCTCCCTTTCTCTTTCTGGCTCTAGTCTTTTTCCTCTTTGCTCCTATTTTCCTCTCCAGCTCCCACTCACTTATCAGACCTTTCCCTCTCTGAGAGCAAGGACCATCACTATTCTTTTCTTCTTATTTGTACCTCACTAACAGATGCTACTCCTTTTCTCAACAAGGTAATGGGAAGATTTTCTTTTCACGTGTTTCATATAAAGGATACACACAAGTTGCAAACATGCCTTCATTCATTTCTCCACAGATTTCTAGTGGTGTTGGGCTTTTGTTGCATTGGCCTAGGGCGGGAACGATGACTGCTACTGAAGTAACAGAGCCTCCAGTTAAACTCTCAGGGGACACACATCCTCTAGTAAAACACAAACTAGTAGCCCTGTGGCTGTTTCATTCTGGTAGAACAGAACAGCATTGGATTTTGGGCACTACATCTCTCCAATCACCCACTTTTTGCACAATTATTTCAATTACAAAATTACGTGATTTATCATGTACAGTAATAATAGCCCAATCTAGTGGAGAACTGCAGTCACATCATGTGAAGAGCATCTTGTACTTGTGAACTGTTTGTGATCTCATGTGGCACAGTCTGTAGAAGATGTTTCTTCTATGACTGATTAAAATTCTCTTATGCGTTTTTGATTATTCTCCAATTATGTAATTCTGCTTAGTTTAAGGCAATGTTATATACACCAATCAGCCTAAACATCAAAACCACTGACAGGTGAACTGAATAACAATGATCGTCTTGTTACAGTGCAATGTTCTGCTGGGAAACCTTGGGTCCTGACATTCATGTGGATGCCACTTGACCCATACCACCGATCCAAACACTGCAACAGACCATATAAACCCCTTTGGGCCGCCTGCACTCCCTGATGGCAGCAGGACAGTGATCCATGCAACACTGTAAGTACTGCTCAGGAATGGCGCAAGGAATGTGGCAAAGAGGGTCAAGGCATCAACTTGGCCTCCAAATTCCCCAGATCCCAGTCCAACTAAGCATCCATGGGATGTAGTGGTAACCCATCCTATATCCATGACTCAACAGATCAGAGGCCTTATCATGGACCGGACTTGGTGAGGCATGTACACAGAGCCTCTGGGGATGTCCAGTGGAGTCTGGCACCACGGTGCTGGTGGCAGATCCCTTGGGTCCTGTGGGTTGCAAGGTGGGATACCAGCACATCCCACAGATGCTTAATCAAATTGGGATCTGTGGAATTCGGAGGCCAGGTCAGCGCCTTGAGCTCTTTCACATTCCACATGAGTGCCAGAACCCAAGGTTTCCCAGTGCAATACTGTATTTTGAATGACATTATTAAAGTTATTCACTTCACCTGTCAGTGGTTTTAATTTTTTGGCCCAACTGTGTATAAAGGATGGATTTTATTTATTTATTTATTTATTTTACTGTTTTTAAGGTTCAGAATCGTTTAGCAGCTTCATATCTCTCTATTTGTTGATCTGAGTATGTTCCAAACCCCTCTCTTAGATTAATTGGCACTAGCTTGCTTAATGTACCGAAATAAATTACAAAAAGTATGGTGATGTTTCTTTCAGTTGTGCTGCACCAAAGGTTTGGCACAAACTTCCACCATAAATAACACAGGCAGCTTTTGCTGATAGTTTTAAGAAACAGCTCAAAGCTTATCATTTTGATCTTGCTTTTAATTAATTCCAGCTTCTTCCAACACCATTGTTCATATTTGATTTTTTTTTTTACCATAATCACACTTGTTTTTATTACTAGTACTTAAATACTTTATCATTATTATTAGTAGTAGTACTAGTATTAGTATTATTTATAAGTGTTATCTAGAATATTGTGTACATATACAATAAGTATAAGTACAAGATTTACGTGGACCATTAAATGGCAAAATACACAATCTTTGGTCTGAGTTATCATCTCGAGTCTGCTATTATGGAAAGTCGATAACACTTTGCCTTTTCAAAACATCAAACAAGTCTACCACATGATGACAGGTCAACTAATCCAATGCACAAACACACACACACTCCTTAAGACATGCTGAATGACTCTTAATCAGGTACACATGGCCAAAGCACGTGTGCTTGTACTGACACTGACAACACCACTGAACACATACAGACAGAGCATGCCCACAGCGCACAAACACATAAGGCTCTCTCTTCCACTTCTTATTGCTTCGGTAGGTGCTACTGATCGATTTTATTGTGAGATTAACACATTACATTTTCAGTGAGTTGAAACTTGTGTCAACATCACATGGTCAAAGTAGTAAACACACAAAGCATATTATATCATTTCTAATCCAGCTCATTTTAAGCTCTTTATGCATTCCTGAGATCAGGTGCCGTGCTAGAGGGATACAGGGAACCAAAGCAAAGGCCAGCGATGCTATTAACACACAGTTGGTGGCCAGGTCAGCATTGCTCTCAGGGAGCAGGAGACCTTGGCATGAAACTGGTAGTGAGCGCTGGCAAAAACCTCCTGACAGTTTTGCTTTCCTTCTCAGCCTTTGTTCTGCTTGTTTAATCCCTAATTATAAAAGGACGGAGGAATTATTTAAAGGTGGAACTGATTAGTGGACTAAACCTTGTACAGTGTGTGTGAATCATGACTAAAAGGCCTGAAGTTGTAACGAGGAGGCTGGCCTAAGGTCTACAAGAACAGTACATGTGCTCTATAATGACCTCAAAGTATATTAGCTGAACAAAGTCAACCCTCTATTATGGGAAATTAAACTTGACATAACAAATAAGACCTGCATTAATGTACACAGCACGTCAAATACTTTGAAGGTGGAAGTTTAGCCTTTGTAATCACAGACCAAAGACTGTGAATTTCCATTTTTACAGATAATAATACCATTAAGTTATATATAACACAACAATAGTGATACTTCAGGCCATGCAAACAAGATTAATCACACCCTTGGAATTACTTTACAGTAAATACATTTAGTCAGTATGCAGTGTGACTGAGGGTAATCTCGGTTTGGCTCCTTCAGCTACCATTAAGTACATTATGTTTTTAAAGACGTATTCTGCACGCCTATATTTTCACACTTTTGAGCTGGTCTTTTGATGCTTGAACTCTTGTCTGTTGTGCCCATAGAAATGTTACATGAAGTCCATTTGTATAATGTGCATCAGAACACTCTTAAGATGTCATGCCCTTTATATTTATTTCAACCCTCTCCCTCTTCTAAACAGCTGTATTTGGAAATGAACCCACTTCTCAGTCACAAAAGCCTATTATTTGCCAACTAGCAATCAGTTAAAGCTGCAACAGCTTTAAGTGTTCTCTGAAGTTTTTAGCCTTAGTAACCGTATCATCGCTGAAGGGTTTTGGCTGCTCTCCACCCATTTCCCGTTTCTGAAATATGCTACAGAGCAATCTGCCAGTTGACATTAAGCGAGAAGGAGGGGAGAACATGAGGGGCTTGTTGGCAGACGCTACAACAAGAGTGCTTACTTCCTTATCAGTTTAATATAAATGGTTGAGATAGTATACTTCAAAATATATCAGAGCTGAAACTGTTAGGCTTTATTAGCTACAAGCAAATGTGGCTCAAATCCATTTTTTGCTCTCATGTGACACAGATCAGATTTTTTCAGAGTAGTGCAGACAAAAAAAATTTTTCCAATCTGACCTGGGCCACTTTCATGTGCGGCCCTAAATCCGATAGTAATCACTTGCCATGCGACCACTCTAAAACCGGCCTTATTGGAATCCATGTGTGTTTTTCCAATACATCCATGGTTTATTTATGTCATATTCTGCACAGGAACAGGTTACTCACCATACAGTGATGGAGCAGCCCATTGAAACTACAGAAGACGGGGACAGCTTGCATACATGCTACAACGGCATTGTTTTGCAGCACCAACAGAGATATTGCAATGTAGCTCTGGACATCCTAAGGTTTGGAAGATCTTTGCCTCCATAAAAGCCTCCACACTGCAGCCCCACCACTCTTGACCCCTCTCATGGCCCCACCCACACTCTGTCTTCATAGAACTACCAGCAATAGCTGTTATTAGAGCTACTAAACTGAGAGCCCATTTGTACAACAGACCATTATCCCAAAAACAAACACTAATTTCTCCAAATGAGTAAATGAGTATCTCCTTATTTAGTTTATATCAGTTTATTGACTGAAGACTTTTCTTTAATTCTGCCATCTCCTCGAAAAAGAAGTGCATTTTTTTTCCCCGGCAGCAGTTGGAAGAAGTGGAACCACTGAAAAAATACTTTTACGAAAGACCAGCTTTTAGAAATGACAAATTTACAAAGGTTGTGTGTTTTTCCGCATTATACACATTTATGTGAACATTCATCAAAACTGGAATCTGGGACTCACCGTGCTGTTGAGCTCTGAATTGTCATAGCTGTCACAAGGATGTGTCCCCGGCCCCCCAAGGGGCTCAAGCCCATCCTCATCCCACATGTAGGTTCCACCAGAGCTGTTGGAGGGTGACATCTCCACAGAAGACGCCTGAAGGGCATCGCCTTGCTCTGAAGACACCACCAGTGGTCCCTGGGAGTCCTGCATAGGGCTTTCTTCTGTATGCCCTGCAGAAGAAATATAAACACATGGCTGAACAACTGACACAAAATTAACACAAAAAGTTAGTTGAATTTCCTTTCAATTCAGTTTTTTACCTGCCAGATCCATAGTGTCCCAGTCGAGGGTCTCGTTGAGAAAGCTGTGTAGGCGGGTGTGAGTAGCACTGCCAGTTTTTCTATTGTCAGGCAGGTCCACATCACTGAACACATCTCCCACACAGTCAAAGTCATCTAGAAACTCTTCACTGGTGTCGCCTCTGTCTAGAGATGAGACAGAAGATAGGGACATGTCCTCTAGAGTCTCTCCTGCTGTCTGTCCAGAGCTTTTCCTAAGAACACCACTTTCTCCTCCCCCCTTCCCTCCTCCAGAACTTCCATCACTGTCACTGTGTGAGTCTACTTTGTCAACCTCAGCAGTCTGCTCACTGTCTGTTGCTATCCCTAACAGCCCTGCACATTCAGGGGCAGTTGAAGGTCTGATATCCCCCTTGACCCTACCTGGAAAAAGAGGCTTCTGCTGCTTGGTCTGTCCGGATCGAGCCAGTCTGTATCCCAAAGTCCCCCCACTGCTTCCCAATGATTTGGTCAGTACACAGCTAGGGAGCAGAGGCTTCCTCAGAGAGCTGGGAGTAGAGGGTGCTGGAGGGACTGAGAGGGCGGGCAGAGAGGACGCAGCTGAAGGAGTTTTACTGTACTGAAGTCCTCCACTGAGACCTCCTGAACCTCCAAGGCTGCCATTAAGGCCTCCGAGTCCTAAACCCACTCTTCCATTGCTCAACTGAGGTGGTTTGAGGAAACTACTCCGAGGAGGCCGAAGCTGAGTGTTTGCCAGAGGCTTGGCTAGCTCCACAGCCCGGTTAAAGGAGAAGGATCGTATCATGGGCTGGCTGGTGGGCGAGGGAATCTGCTTGAAGTGAGTGAAGCTGTTCGAACGCACCATGTTATCCAAAGCCAAGGTCTTCAGGCTGTCACTGGACTGGGACAGGCTGTCTTGAGAGCTGCTTCTGGGCGAGCTGGAGCCTAACCGTGGCCGCACAAGGCGGGACTCTGACCCTGTTAGAGCAGGAATGCTGGAGCCATTATGGCCTATTTTTGGACCTCCGTTCAGCGGGCTTTGGGTTAGCTTAGTCCCCACTTTGGGACTCATCTTCACAGATTGCTTGGGGATTGCCTTGGGACTGGACACTGCCACCATCAAAGCACCTGACCTCCGCATCTTGGGCGTCGCTGGAGAGCCATTCTTTACCTCCTTTGCCAGAGAGGGAAGCTGTGTCTGAGCCTTGTCTTCAACTCCATCCCCAGGGCTGGTGGGAGTGGTGGGGCTTGGGGGGGTCGTCCCTTCGTCTTTTTTCCATTTCAGTGAAAAAGGAGAGGCACGGATTAAGCCATTTGGGCGTGTTGCTGGGGGAGTAGTTTTACCATCCTGTGTGGGGGTGGTTGGCTGTGTGGAACCATTGGACAAGGGGCTAGCGCCACCAGTCGAGGAGCGTCCACCGAACTTAGGCAGTCTGGATACCATGGCAGACTTGATGGGTGCTTTTTCTTCCATTAGATGCCAACAGAGGCATGGAGGAACGTTGAATCACACACAACTGGGGAATGAACGCACAGAAAGACAGCACAAGAGATGATTAGATTTAGGTGTGTATGGTTTGAATTGAGACACTGATGAGCAGCTTTGTATCTTACTTTGAGTGGTTAATATAGCATAGTAATTTTGTTTTCTGTTGATGACAGAAAACACTGACTTTAAAAGTTCCCTGACAGGTTGAGTGAAAGAGGAAACTCAAAAAAATGCAGTCATACACACATGCACACACACTTGTGAACATATGCCCTTATCTGTAATTGTATTATAAATGCCTGTAGTGATAAAAACACAGTCATAACACTAGTAGAACTCCTGTCCATCTGTCGCAGTGGTTGCATGTCTCTCCTATTCAAAGATCGCTGACTGTGAGGCGCATTAGGGATTAATCTGGCAAGCTTACTTGAGACTTTGGCACAGCAAGTCTGGCTTGATTCTTTCACGTGTTCGTGCAAGAGACATAAAGGCTCTATTAATCCCTTTCTTTACCACAAATGTTAATCACACCTGGAAAAATCCAATGTCTCTTCCTTAAACATCATACTAAGTACTTGTGACTCTATTCAAATGTATGAAACTAAATCCAGTGCAGGAAACAGAAGTGTTCTTGTTATTATCTGTTTAAAAGCATGTGATTGTTACAATAAAATCTCCCAATATTTAAGGGTATATTAAATGAACAAACAGGACATTCTTCATGAGAAATTAATAGAATAACAAGCTTTTGACGCTCTCAAACAGTTTTGCACATGATGTGACCTGTAGCTGGCATTGGTTTTTGAGGATATGGCGCCAATACACCCAGCCAACAAAAGAATGGGCAAACAGCGCCTGGGGGACAAGGGGAAACCAATGCTGGGAAGGTGGCCAGCACACTGTGAATAGTGAATGGAGGACGTACAGCATGTAAAGCCAATGGAGGGAGAACACAGGGCCGTTTCCTGTTACTCATTGTTAAATTCATTCACTTCCAATCAGCCATGTGACAAGTGTACATGTGTTGGTGGTGCACCTGCGTGTTACATCCATCTGGCTACTGCTGGAAGATTATGAATAGGAAAGTTACTGAGATCCAGATGGCTGGGGCGGTTAACAGAAAGTGATCCTTCTGCATGAGGGAGCAAAGCAGTTACTAAAAACTGTCTCTAGACCATTGCCCCTGATGGAAAATAAATTATTGTTGCATCAGATATTAACAAACACAATTCACTTTTAAGAAATGCCTGCTGCAGTATTGATCCACAGTAGATCAAGCAGATTCTCCCATGAAAGTGAATCCTTTGACAAAGTGGCACAAAGACACAAGGGCAGATAGTAGGGCAATAATCCACTCAACTTTAAAGGGGTGGGGGAGGGGTGTTGTTTTACAATGTGGGTCTCCGATCCTGGAAAAAATGCTGTACCACGCTGCCCCACATTCCCATGCACAAACACACGTGTCTACAATCAAAGAGACACACTCATCACCACGGCCACAGAAGTCTGGCTATGCCACTATCCTAATCTGCTTCATAAACACACATGGGCACAAACACAAAAAAACACACAGTTACACACACAAAATCGGGTCAGCATGTGCAGGCAGGGCAACCAAAGCCTCTTTGCCCCGGGGAGTGGGTGGTGACAGTGTGTGTCTATGTGTGTTTAATGGGTAGCAATTAGATTAGGGGTTTTCGCCACTGTGAATGGCCACAGAACCTCTCAAGTTTCATTCACATCCAACGTGGCAGATATCACTACTACAAAGCAGCAAATCCACACTCTGCTGTGGCAACTGCTTACTCATCTGGGTCATCTCACTCATCACTCAGCCACTGGAAGAGATCTGTCTGCAGACCTGGTGTTTTCTTTAATGTTTTTACTTGTATCACCTTAAAGAAATCCCACATCTACAGATTCTATTTTTGTCACATTATAGTTTTTATATAACGCTTGGGATGCTGCAAACAAAGGTGCAGTCAGTGAAAAGAAACAGACTAATCTCAAGGTCTAAAAATTGAATTTACTGCACCAGAAAACAATAAGAGAAATTTGCATGGTCCTCTGATTTAACAAGTGCTCTAAAAATAATACAACTATTATAATCATTAAAGAGAAGTTAAAAAAATCCAAAGAATTGAGATGCCTTTAGATCTCAAAATATTAAATCAAGATATAGGACTATGACTTTCTCTTCATACAAAAACTCAAAGGAAATCCCTCTCAATCATCACTTATGACCCACTAGAGGTGTGTGGTGGTGTGTTTATCTGCAGAGACTCTGCCCTCTACCTGTAATTTTCTTATTTTCTTCTTGTTTTGCTGAGTTTGGAACGTGACTGGACACAGCATGCAGGTGAGGTCAGGATTTTATAAAATTGTAGCTACAAAAATCACTTACACAGTGGGGCAAAATGACAAGTCAGTCCGGGGTGTGCCTTCAGTTTCACTGGTGATGTTTGCTAACAGTAACCAACGATTACTGCATAGTATACTTATGAGCAAAATCTAGCCTCTGCAGCAAAACACGTTGCCTTGGTATACTGATTAAGAGCTTCTGTATTTCCCTATATTTAAATGGCAAATCAGTTGCCTACTAATGTCATATCATCATAGCCCAGGTCTAAAGCTGAGTGTTGCCTGTATTGATACTGGTGTCCATACTGTATCAGAGCTTTGGTTCCAAAGCTAAAAACAATGGTATTTAAGTTGACTTACATTGCTCATTATGTCATACATTTTTTGTAGACAAAGCTGTATTTTAATTTAACAAAAGTCTATAAACCTACCACTAATGTAAATCAGTGAATAGTGGGATTTAAAGGTCCAGTGTGAGGGATTTAGGGGGGAGTATAATGGAATATAATACTCATAACAAAGTTTTTATTAGTGTAAGTGTATAATCACAAGAAACTAAGAATTGCAGTGCTTTCGTTACCTGAGAATAAGCTGTTCGCTGTGTTGTTCTACGGTAGCCCAGACCAGACAAACAAAACACTGGCTCTAGATTTGCATTTTCACATCAGCTACCCTAGTTCTCCTACACGCGGGAGAAGTTTCAGTTGGTTGCAATGTTGCAACCTCACCACTAAATGCCACTAAATCCTACACACTAGACCTTTAACAAAAACAACCATACAAGCACTTTGCTCAAATAGCTCTTTTTTCCCAACAAAATTATTGTTTGAATTAGTAAATAGCTTGACAAAGAATCAGAAAATGAGACAAAGCAGCTGCCCAAATTTCAGTATATGACTGGTTCTGTTATTCAGTGTTATGGGCACAATATGGTTGATACTGAGCCCTATATTCCTGATACTCGTATAAAGACAGGTCAGCTCAAGGGGACCACAAATAAACAACAAGATCCTGACTGACACACATTCAGAGGTAGGGCAGTAAACCATGCAGGCCATCTGTCAAACGCTCATATCTACTGGCCTGCCCCTCCCCCCAGAGTACAGCACTGTAAATAAATATCCCAGAGCTTCACTAACATCCAGCACAAGGCTTGCACTAACTAACTCCCATGTTAACCAAGGCCAGCAATGTGCCTCTTTTGGCCCTGCACTGCATGTGAAACAAAACATGAAACACTGATGCTGTAGAGGGATGAATAATGTAAAGAAAATAGTCCAGACGGACACAGTCAAACTGAAGTCAGGGTTATAATCATACGTCTATTCAGTGTAAACATAATGTGACAGGGAAAGCAAATTGTGTACACAGCAATAAGAAACCCTCTAACAAGTCTGAGTGCTGTTGATTTCATTTTAACCTGGTTTGACATTGTGATCCACTGAGATAGTTTAAATAATTAAGTTTATCTCTGTTTTCTGGTCTGAATACTTAACTACACTGAGAATTGTCATACAGCCAGAAAGAGTTTTATCTCGATGTCCCAAAATCTCAACCGAGAGACTAAGAATACACACAATAAAAGGGAAGACAGCAAGCAGTAGAGGGAGTGGAAAGGATTGCTAAGAGACAGTTACTGTTAAATAGAGTCACAATGGGTGAGACAGTGAGACGAGACTTCAGGCAGACTTTTCACACAGAGAAATCTTCTGCTCGACCTGCAACTTAGCATCTCAGCAGTGATCCCGATGTGTGAAATGAGCAGGAAAGTGAGATGACATCTTTTCTGACTCTCTGTCGTACAGGGAAAGGGAGCTTTCTGTCTGTCTGCCAGTGAGGCTATTTGGCCTTTCTTCATTTCCAACTCAGAGGACAGCCAGACAGAAAGCACCTGGCAGAGATGCAGGAAGGCTGAAAAATCGGCTCTGCAAGAATAGGGTCATTCATTACTCTTCTGGCAAAGCTTTCACTTCTGAATTGCACTCACACACTGCAGAGATGCATTCTTCAGGAGTAACAGGATGGATGCAGATAGGACGCGACAGGCCGGGGGCTATGATCTATTGGGTCACTGGGGGCTACGCATGAATGGAGGTGCTCTACTACACACAGTAAATCCCCCATCCTGCTGTGATTCCCCACTGCCAGTCTGTCCCCATCTCCCAGTGCTCATAGTTCCTTATCACTGCAAAGCCTCAGCACCATCTCTCAATAGCAGAATGCCAGGCTGCATCCATCTTTCCTCTCTTATCGTTCCTTCATTCAATTCTGAAAGACTGATAAGGCATGAATTTCATTCGACTTTATTCATATGGGAAATCCCAGAGAAAGATACAGAGTAGGGGATGCCTTATAGAAAAAACTCCCCTTCTCTATAGTTTCTTAGAGAGGAAACAGTACAATATCATTATCATGAGGTATGATGCCAAGCAGTAGATGTTTTGGAAATTAAAACTTGACTTTTGAGTAATATCATGACTCCTTACTGGTATCAGTGTATACCCATTGTGATCTCATCCCTACATGTTATGTTTTGACGCTTAAGCAGAAGCCCCCGGTGTCACTATAATGACTTTGGGGGCAACCTTTTGCATTGCATCTTGATGCAGAAGGGGTCAGTGGATAGGTTTAGGCAGCAAAAGTACTTGGTTAGGGTTAGGAAAAGAT